TCTACTTTCTGTATGGCAACAAAAGGAACCAGAACTATGAAATAGAAACTATAGAAATAGTTTCATGGCTCTGTTCCTGTCCATTGCCTCTTGGGGAGGTGGGGCCCCATCCTTCCAGCTGATCTTCACAAAATGCATTCCCTTGGAGGTGCCAGGCAGAAGAAGCTTGCTCAACATTTGTATCTCTTGAAGCTGAGTATTTTAATTACCATTTCTCTGCTCACAGACGTTTGTGGTCAGAGGGAAGGACTATGTGAATATATGCACTTTCAGCGCTTAAGGTTTGTTTCCTTGCATGAACATGTCAGAAATGTGTAAATATTTAATATTGAACTCCAAAGTTGGCAGTTACATAATAACCTACAGGGAAATGATGAGTTTTTCTGCTCCCCCCCACACTGCAGCCCTTATGTAACTAACTGATGTATCACAAAGCAAGGAATTCTAAAATACTTTTCACATAAGTATCCAAAAATCACTTGTGGAGAACATACAGCCCCTAAACCTAAATCATGTGTGTAGTATAAACATCTCACACTAGTAAAGCACTTCTGTGTTTCTGGAGGGTGCGATCTGGCTCACTATCAGTAACTAAAAAAATGTTTGTCACGGGTGCATGAGTCCCTGGAGAGCGTGAGGGAAAGGCAGAATGCTGCTGGTTTGAAGTTCTAGTCATTTCTGCCCCTCTGCAGGCAGTCCTGGCTCTGTGGTGACACTTTGAGCTTTGCCTGCCGGTGACCTTGTTGCTTTGCACCCCAGCCTCTGATGGGGCAGCATCACACAGAGGGGTTTGGGAAGCAGTTTGGTGCTTCAGTATCTTTTGGACTAATTTTGTAGCAAATGATACGACACAACAAGGAATTTGTAAAAATAAATATTGCAGTATCTGTTATAGCTTAAAAAAAAATCTCGCTAAGGGGGTGACTGTATGATATTTATCATGTAATTTGTGGTTATTGTTCTTTTTGCCCTCCAACTGGATATGTTTGATAAAGTAACATCACATGCAGTGGTAGTACCAAGAGCCCAGCTCTTCAAATGAAAAAGCACAAGCTGTAACTTTGAGCTGCTCAGTTTGCTTTAATAGCATCAGTGCTGGGGTTGCAGCTAAGGAAAAACGTCTTTACAGAAAGTGATTAAATCAAAAGTTTTTATCATGGGAACTGTTGTCTTTCTGATGACAAAACCAGTTTGACTGACTGAAAAGAAATTACCTCTGGGAGCGTTAGGAGATTTTCCTCGGGAATTTAAATGCCACAAGCTATTCTCAGCTTAAAAATAGCAATGTGTAGGTTGAGATGAGGAGCTGAGAGGTGTGTGCTGTAGGTTGGGACTTTGTTAAGCATACAGATGTTCACAGGTTTTAAAAACATTCTTTTTCTGATTTAAAAATTACCACGCTGCAGCTTAAGACCATGTGGTTTGTCATTACAATCGTTGTGCTATTCAAAGCAGCTTTAAGAATCTCCTCAGAACTCTTTGAAATCTTAAACAGATATTCTTTTTAGTTGCATAGTGCTTGTCTGCTGCTTTCTGTATTTGCCCAGATTTGGTTGATCTTACGAGAAATGTATACTGAAATGGTGTCTGTGACCTCAGAAGCAACCTGCTCTTGCATATCTTCCTTTGCTTTCTCACCTTCCCTTCTTGGTGCAAGTGTATTCAAGTCTTTGCTATCGTATAGTTCCCTTTCAATACTTTGGGGTTTTTTTCTAAAACCTAATAAATAATTAAAACACCACTAATGCAGAATAGGCTTCTCAGGCTAACTTTGAAATGGCTGGCAATTAATTAGGTGCATAAATGGGTCTAGCACAGCCCGAGTGCTGGGTGTTCTCCAGGTTCTCGAGCAGGTTTTGTAGCCCATAGCTCCTGTGGCCATGTTTCTCATGGCATCTGCTGAGATAGCAGCCCAGGCTGGTGTGACTTCAGGTGGACTGGTTATGTGTGTTGGTTTGAATTACTTTCCCATTCTTTTTTTCCTGGATGCTCTTCACCTTTGGATTTGATCTTCCTTTCATCTCCCTTCTGTAGAGAACTTTTTCGACAGTCTTTGCTGACCTCTTTCTGGTCAAATTTAAGCTTGTAAAACGCTGTTCTCCTTCCACAGGTTTTTGGTAAGATACTTTGAGATGTTTTACGGAAGACACAATACTGTTAGTCCCTTTTTGTATTTATGAAAGTCCTTTGCTTTGGCACTATCAGGTGCCCCCCTCCCTGGGGGCCTCGGCTCACCTGCCTGTTCCTGTGCACTGTTTTGGGATAAGCTAATTCATCTCATGGCTTCATCTGCTTTTTTGGTGCCAACAGAGTTCCAGCTCCTCACATTCTTGACTTGCAGTCAAGTCTATAATCTCAGTTTCAAACGCAGTGTGAATTTTGTGTCTCATGAGGCTGACTGAGGCTTTGGGGATGACACACATGGCATATGCTCATAGTTATGGTAGGAAAGAGTTTCATATTAAAAACTTGTTTACTTCTCTGAAATTGAATTTTCTGACAGATAGGACCTATGTTAAATTTAATTTTAAATGAGCACTTCACAATTCACTGTCTTGGAATAAAACCTACCACAAATCACACACGCACATTGCAAATTCTTTTGTGCTGCTTTCAGGCTGTGCCTTTCTATAAAATCTCAGGCAGATTTGGTAACATTGGAAATAAGTACTATCTTGTGAAAGCATAACAGCAATCTTGGACCTTAACACAATTTTTAAAAGCTCATATGAGCTTTCTTAATAAGCGTTAGATGCTTTAAACTACATTTTGCTACTTAGGAATATTATTATTATGCCTTTTGGGTGTCTTATTTCTATTCCTTATTTTCTTCTTACCTGTAAAGTCGATGCTGTCTGACTCTGTGTACTACAGTAAGGAGGACAGATAGTATAAGTGTATAGTTAAGCAGTATGTGGGGTTTTTCCTATGAACACATTCAGTTTCTTCCTATAAGTTCTTTTAGCTCTTTCTAGAATTTCTGGAAAATCCTGTGGGACAAAATGGCAGAAGAAAAAGAATTCTATGAACTTACACCAATAGAGGTGCAAGTCCCATCCCTCCACCATTAAAAGGGAATAATTCTAAAACAGTTTTGAAGCAAGAACATAACATAGTTCAAGAAAATGTTTCCTGACAGATGAGTCACCTCTTGAAGGGCAGGTGGCATTTTAAATCCTGCCTGTCTGAAAATCAATAATAAATCTGTTCTGAAATCTTACTGTTGTAAGAACTTGGTAGTTATTTACTCCCTCGAGGTTGGTAGAGTTTATTCCTATACTGAGAATGATGTGCATGGTTTGTGTTACTTTATCTAGCACTTTTGTCCCATTTCATTTCTGTAGGGCTGTTAAAAGCAAAGACAAAATTCCGGGAAAGCCAGGTGATGAGCTTGGTTAATCCTTTAGAGCCTGGCTGTGGTTATAGTAGGCTAGATCCACAAAAGAGCAATTTCTGCACTGTTTTTACAGGTGCAAATTTTAGCCTCACTTGGCTGCTGCTTGGATTTAGAAAGGGTGACTTCATTTCTTTCTTGGGTGCAATAAAAATGGTTTCATTAGCAAGGGCCTTGTACTGCAGATAAAGGTTCATGTGGGTCAGTGGCCTAAGGACATCTCTGCTAGGAAAGGCCCTTTGCTTGGGAGTGTGCTTTGCCTTTCAGTTGGCTTAAGTCTAAACTTAAACTACAGAGAATGATGGTAAAAACTCAGGTTTATTTTCATTTTCTTCCATTCACTTAATGGACGTTCAGTCTCATCTTTCTTCCTTTGGCTTTTGGTAATTCTGCTGCTGTTCTTATGCAAGAGTAATTACTTGGCTGGTTAATGAATTATGATGCTTATGCTACAGGGAAATCTTTGTGACTTAAAAATAGAAATCAAATTGCTTTTAAATTCCCTCTAGTGACAGGTGACGACTGTACCAAAATTAAACTTCAGTCATAGGTGGAAGCAACACAGTTGCTAAGGTGCTGAACTCCCTGGTGCCTGGCAAAGATGGAAAAGTGATGTCAGATGCCTCCCTGGGTTAGTTCTGCATGAGACATGAAGAGATTTCCCTCTTCCCTCAGCACCTGGGAAAGGAGGCTCTGCTGTTTTCTCTGCTGTCTGTTGGGATTTCTGAACTGTGGGATTCCAGTGTCTGTACTTTGCTGCCCACTGTTATAAACTACCATTTTTCAGGTGTTATTTCATCCAGAAGGAGAACTATATTAGTTTTATTTTGTGAATACTATCTAGGAAATTATTTACATTTTAGTTGCATATTTCTGTGAAATAAATAATTAGCAGTGTATCTAAAGCCATTCAGAATTAACACTTCAGAATTAATACATAAAACGTATTTTTTCATATTATTTTCTTGTGGCAAAAATAACATCCAGTTCTATAAGCACGCCCCACTGTATTTCTCTGTAAGGAAGAATGATGAATTAATATTAGGCTATTATTATTATTCAGTGTTCCCTAATACATTTCATTATCACATTTAAATACTAATATGCTTAGATCAACTCTGTGTTTTTTAAACCAATACTTGTTATAAGTGCATTTAGTTGAAAAATTTAGAAATTGTATTGAAAATTATTTCTTACTTCTATTTTAATTTAATCTCTTAATAGTAATTTAATGCCATTGCTTTGCATTGATTGATGTTACTCCTTATTTCTGGACATGCTTGATGGACCAGGCAAAGGTGTCAACCCTTGTATTAGATTACAGAATTGGTTCCTTCTTCTGTTTGTTTAGTTTGGGTTTACCAGGGATACCTTGTTCAGCATGAAAGATAAAAGATCTAAAGTTTCTATTGATTTCTTTTTGTTGTCTTTTCCTCAGACATGATTATTTCTACCTTTTCTCTATTCTGCCATGTTTCACTTAGCAGACAGTACTTCACAAAACAGTTCTGTTCCTTAACCTTGTTGTCATTTCACAGCAAGTTTTTCTGCTTGTGATAAATCTGATCAACATGTGACTGAACAGTTCTTCATGTTGTCTTTGCAGGATGTGGTACTGCAACAGGAGGAGCTGAAGATGAAGGTGAGGCTGAAGCTGGCTGGATCGAAGGTGCTGCCATCCTACTCTCTGTTATCTGTGTTGTTCTTGTCACTGCCTTCAATGACTGGAGCAAGGAGAAGCAGTTTCGTGGGCTTCAAAGTCGTATTGAGCAGGAACAGAAATTTACTGTTGTCCGAGGTGGACAAGTTATCCAGATCCCAGTGGCAGAGATAGTAGTTGGTGACATTGCACAGGTGAAATATGGTAAGTTCTGGCAACTTTCCTGAACTTTATTCTATTTTCCTTTTCTAGCAGAACAGACTCACTTCACTGGAAGGGATGTAAAAGCCAGAGAATTATGTGGTGTCATTATTGCCTATGCTAATACAATTTGGCTGTTAGGGCAGAAGAAAAACCTGTGACACTTGCTGTAAGATTACACTAGGTGATTCATGTTATCGTTGTAATCTTCACTTCCTTTCACTGCAAGGACAAGAACTGTTCATGCAAAGGCAATGCTCCTTCATGGAGGAGGACACTATTTGGAATGTTTGGTTTCTGTCCTCTTTTTTAGTAATAAGAGGAAGTATTTTTAAGTGCTCTGTGAAAGGGAATTGTGCCTCTGTGTGCATCCCATTTGATAGGCTGCTCCAGAGCCATGGATTCTGTAAGTCCCCCCCGATCAGATGCATCTAGTGGGTGGATGCCTTTTAATTAATTGTATGCTCCAGGGAAAGCCCTGGGCTCCAGTGAGTTTTGCAGGAGCTCTGTGCGCTCTGTGTTTGGCTGAGCTGGTGAATTCCAACACAATGCCCATTCTGTCAACCTTCACTTTTCTCCCGGACTTGGCTAAGGGCTTCCAGAGTGGGGAAGAGGAAAGGGCAACTTGACCTTCATCAGCCACTGTTCATTCCTGTGCAGGCCGATAGAGGAACGTGCATGGCATGTTCAAGAGCAGCACTCCCCCTGCCAAATCTCAGTGATTATTATGTTCACCATATGTTAAATGTGATGTGTTTTGATTCTGGGATAGCATTAGGCAAAAACTACATGCAATACAAGGGCCCTTCCTAACAGGACTGCAATACTGTGGCTAACATGGACAGACATGGTAGTAGTTCTTTCACTTTCACTTTTGCTTTCATTTTACATTTTAATGATTGTTGTTAATTGTGATTTTATAATGAAAACTATGATGTAATTGTAAGAACAATCTTATTAAACCATTCTGGTTTTCTATTACCATTTTCTTACTGAAAGGTGATCTTCTACCTGCTGATGGGATATTTATTCAAGGAAATGATCTCAAGATCGATGAAAGCTCTTTAACTGGAGAGTCAGACCAAGTCCGCAAGTCTGTTGACAAAGACCCAATGCTCCTGTCAGGTAAATCTGCCAGAATTCTTGCAGGCTTCTCTCTTATGCATGTCTTTGTTTCGTTTTTCCACGCCATAAGGTTTTAGTAACTGATCTTTTGAACACAGACACTGGCCTTGTCTTTGTAATTCCAAGTACATGCTATTGAGGTTTGATTGTGTGCCGTTATTTCAGATTGTCATACTTATTTTATAAAATGAGAAAGAAACGAAGCATTTGCAGAGGAAACCAGCCTTTTAAAGCCTCTTTAAACACTTTGTGTATGTACTAGATACAACAGAGAAAACCCAATGAGCTTAGAAGGAAATACTAGAATACTGTGAGCTTAACTTCTGTGGTCAATTTGAGCTCTTTGTAGTATTTTTATTTTGTAATATAATTCTATACAGTAAATTGGTTAAATAGAACGTGATTTTTTAATCCTCATAAAGATAGTTTCTAAATAGATTGGTTGTCAATAGATTCCAGCTGGAATGTTATCACAATGTAATAGCCTGCTGATCTTACAATCATCATCAATGTGTTATAATCTGAAACAGTCATTTTGAAATATAGTTGAGCTTTTTATACATGGAAAGGATTCTCTTAGCTGTCTGGATGTACAGTCAGCCAAGGGTCACCCTAAATAGAAAACTGATGTGATGGTGCAGCAGGTTGACATGCAGCCAGCCCTTCAGCAGTCCTGCCCCAGCCTGGCTCCCTGAGCAGGTGCTTCTCAAGCAACAAGCGCTGTCACATAACCAGAGCACTGACTATGAGGTTATGAGTGTTTATCATGTCAAATATGGAATTGTGGGCTGCTAAAACCCCATCAGCTTTCAGTCAAAAGTAGCTGCATTAACTTAAGATGAAGAAATTGCTAATGTTACTGGAGGACTGGCCATTGCCACAGACTTCGTGTTGCAGAAGACCATGTTAATCCATTTTAACTTCAGCAAGCTACAAGCATCTCGCTCCCTGAAACTGTGTACTAGATTATTTCTTTCAAATGACATGAAAAGTTTCTATCACTTCTGAGAATAAAACAGCTAAACAAAAATAATCCTTTGGTTTCTTTAAAAATATTATGGGTCTTATTTATTAACTGTTTTTGCTGCAGTGTCCTGCTAAGTGTATGCCTTTTGCTGTTCATGCTGTAAACCCCTAAATTTTTCGAAGTTATGAATGCCTGAAAATGTGTTTGCACATGTTAAATAGAGACTAATAAAGCTTAGTAAGGTAGCTGCAAACTCCAACGGCTGCATTTGTGTAGGAGAGGTACAATGAAGAGCGCATGCAGAAATGCTCAGTGGAGGGGGCAGTGCCAGTTGGTTTTTTTGAGGTTCTGGTGTCCCTCTGGCACCCTGATACACTATAAGGTAATTTAAGGAAGTGTTCTGACTTCCACAAGTAGGGTATGAAAATACTGACTGTTATTTTTGCTAGATTTACAGTGATTTGGTTTATCTTCAGGCTTAACTTAGGATTCTCTTGGAGATGCTTCTGGTGTGTAAGTAGGAAGGCCTGCAGGGGTATTTGCAGGAAGGGCAGCCCACTGTTGGTGTTCCTAACAAAATTAATAATCCAATGTTGTTCTTGAAATATTTGTGCATTTTTTCTTAGCTGATAGTTGTGCTGTTCTGTAAACATAACTTCATAACTGGTACAAACGTTTTCATTTTAAAGAGTTGGTTTTAATCATGATACTTTCTTTCAGAAACTTCTGTCATGAAATATCATCAGCTTCTATCAAAATATACTGTTGCTGAGTTCTAGAGGTTTTCTGATTATGAAGTTTCCATTGATTCATGATCTCTCACATACTCCTAAAGTGAATCAGATCTTTTTCAGTATCCATACATTTCCATGGTGGCTCTGAAAGAACATGAAGGTCTTGCCCTGAAAGGCATGGTAGGAACAGAAAGGAAAAACAGTCAAGTTAGGAGAAAAGATGTTTTTGTCTTACCAAAACTCAAGTTTCTTTGCTGTAAGGAAATTTGTCTTTATGTTTTTATTGCAGTGTGTACTTGATTTTTTCTCTTCCTATGTAATCTCTATGATGATTACAAAGAAGGTGAAGAATTAATGTGATATTTTAACAAGCACTACATTCACCTTTGTTCCATACTTATACTAATGACTTTTTACACATGCTGTGGTAGAAAATCCCTGAAATCTATTTGTTTAGGGGTTGAGATTCTATCATGCAAAAAACAACCTTTTTCCATAGATACAGTGCAAGGTTTAATCCCAGTGATGTGAGAGCTGATGTGCCCACTGGAAATCATTAGTAGTCCAAAACCTGAGACCTCATAAAGCACCATTTCTTTCAGGGTGGGTGTTAAAACTGAGTTTGTGCTGGATGTTAGCCCAGATCTGTATTTTAATGCAACTTGTCTAAAGTAAAATAAAACCCCAAACAAATCAATCCCCTGCAAGAACATCAGACAGACCTGAAATTTTCCTCTAATCTTTGTACTTGAAGACATAGTTCAGTTATCTCCAGGTAGGCTTTTGGAATTTAGACAAATGCTGTCAGGATGTTACTTGCCACTGTTCTCCCTTAATAATTTGTTGGAAATGAAACCAGTTCAGGCTTACAGAGGAATAACTGAAAAAAGGTAACATCTGAACTGCGGCCACAGTTTGTTTGGTGAGTTTAAATTTGGTGCAAGATAAACACACCAAATCAGGGAGTATTATTTTCACCATTGGCACCTGAAACACCGTTTTTAATATGCAGTCATTTTGGATGACATAATTAAACTAAATGAGTTTCTGTGCTTAATGTCCTGCTTAATCATCCAGATAGTCATTTATTATACTTGAGAAGCAATTCTAAGAGTACAAGTGCTGACTAAAGCAGATGGTTCATTTCCATCTGTATATAGCACATTTCGTACCACCTAGGAAGGCAGAGATGGAAGTAGATACGCTGATACACCTGAAACCAAAGGTCGCAGCTTCTCTTATATAGTTGCACTGTACTTCTGTCTAAAACATCTTCCTTCTTTTAGTTCAGTAATAGACATTTGCATTCATGGTGTAGCATAAGCCATTGCGTCAGAAGTGATCGGCTTAAACAAGACTGTGCTGACATTGTATTTCTTTGCGATGAGCATGGGCATGTATTGCCCAACTTGGGTAACCAAACCAACTGCTGCTCAACTCTCCTGAGTGAAGCTGATGGGCCCTTTAAGTTTTATGTAGTTCAAGTTCACAGAAATCCATGACTCCTAAATACAGACATTCTGAATATGAGTATGGCCTCAGTATTGCACACAGTGAAGTATTTTGGAGTACTATGTTTTATAACAGTAATGAAATGCCTTATGAGGCTTATTGCTTAAACCTTTCCCCAAGGTATTTAGATTAATTTGATTAAGGTATTAAATAGTTACATAGAGGAGCTCACTCAGTGTAGTTCTCGCTGAACTGAAACTGACAGAACACTACTTTATCCTAACGTGACTCTTATAGATGTGCACATCAAGGGTTTGAAAGGAAGAACGAGAGCTTATTTAAGAACAAATATACAAAAGAAATCTCTTGGTCATGGTGCTTTGTTAGGTTTGGAAATAAAAAGGAAGCTGGAGTGAGGGATTGAGTCAGTTGTTTTCTGGAGAAAAGTAGTTCTAATTCTGTCTTCATTCCCTGTCAGGAAATACCTGGAGCTGGGCTTCCAGTGCAACAGAAGTGTTCAGAACTGAGCAGCTCACTTCAAAAGTTCCAGTTGTTGAAATTACTTGTAGATGAGAGCTTTCTTCTGGAAAGCTCCTTTTTAGGTAGAGGATATTCTGGTGGTTTGTTCACCTTATTGTTAATTTCAGTTATTTCTTAATAATTGCACTGACTGAAACAGCTGCTTAGATCTGCTGAGAACTTCCGTTCAACGTAAGTTTGCTGGAAGTAGAAACCAGTGTAAAACCCCCAAACTGGCATGCTTATGCTTTCTTTTTTGTTTTTCAGCTCTATTTCCAATCTCTTTCACCCAGTACTATTATTAAACTTCGGGGGTTCTGAGCAGTCTCATGCTTAGTTGCATTTTTGTTTGAGAAGTATGTGCTGTAATAGGTTTCTTATCCATCTAACCTGTTTCTATCTTCTTTTATTAAACTAGACTTCTTCCTTTTCTGTCTTGGAATATTCACTATTTATCAACTTCAAATTAAATACTCAGCATGTGAAAAAATGATTTTAATAATACCGAAAAAACGGTTTTGAGGGGGAGAGGGACCAGTAGAATTGTTCAAGATGAAGTTGAAATATGTGCTTTGTGTACAAGATCAGCGAAAAACACATTCATTCCAGAACTCCATTTATATAACAAAAGCTGATTGAAGTCACAGTGCCCATGTCTTTATTCAAGCTAATATAATTATAATGCCATTTAAATGGTGAAATTGCCAGTTAGGTGGAAGGAGGTCCAGCTCTTCGGCTTAGCTTAGATGTTGCTGAATTTTCCATAGTTCTAGTGGAACATAATGTGATGATAAATTAGTACCATCTCTAAAACATGCTTTTGTGTGCACCTGAGCAGGTTGGAATTATGTTTTACAAAACTAATGTTAAGAAAAGGTTCAGAAAGGCATTTCAGGTTAAGGCAGTGCTGCCTTTTCCAGATGTAGGGAGGTGAGATCTGGTGGGTGCATGTTTTCTTAATAGAGTGGTTTTGAAACATAGATGTGTGTGCCAGGTTTTGGAGGATATTTCTACCCACCTTTGTAGTCCAATACAGAGGAAGATTCCTTCAGAAAAAAATCCATGGGGATACTAAAAGCAAGTTCTTAACCGAAATATATTTTAAATGGTGTTAACATTTTAAAAAAATAAAAAGTTCCTCTAAATTTTGAAGATAAGTTTGAGACATTTTCTGTTTTGTCTGAACCAGTACAATGAAGCCTGCTTTGGTTTCTAAAGATCTTTTCTGTTCCTTTAGGCTTGAATGTAACTTGTGTTTTGTTGTTTGGGTGGCGGTCCTAATTTGTATGCCTGTGATGTTTTGCTCTGTCATATGAAAGAAAGCAAATGACTTTTTAAGGACTCAAATTTTATCTCACAAAGCCATAGGAACAGTTGTCAATGCACTGAGAATGTCTGTTGGTTTTTTTTAAATACATCTGACCATTAGTGCATTTTTGTTTTTATTTGGCTTATTTCTGCTGAAATTTTCTCAGTGTTCTGATGAGATATTTATGCTCTGAAATTAGGCTTAGTGTTGACAGATGTTCCCTCTGTTCTGTGTTTCTGTTTTCCTTTTAAGAACATGAGAGATTTTGATTATTTAGAGAAAGATATTTTGATTATAAATAGATAGTTGCATTGCTTACCATGTTCTAGGACAGCGACTGGATGAACAGCAAGAGTGTGTGTGTGTAATATAGATCTGTATAAGGACACGAGTCCATATATCTTCTCTTTTTTCAGCTTTTGAGATAACTCATTGAAATGTATATATTTTCTATACACTAAACCGCAATGTATTTTAAAAAGGGAGGGGAGAAAAGGTCTTTCTATGGCCATTCAGGCTTAGGAGACCTGAATGCCCAATAAGACTCTCAGTGAGAAATCAATTATATCCCCCATGTGCTCAGTGCAACAGGCTCATAGTGCAGTCAGTCAAGAGTCCATGTTGCAGGAGGTAGCAGAAAGCTTGTCTGAAGATGCCCTTTTCTTTTTGCTGTGGTTTCAGGTGTGCCCTGCTGTGGTACATTCCAGAACTACAGGCACCAGTGAACAACTTCACTTTGGTTTTAAAATATTGAGTGGTAGTTAGTGATGGTAGTGGGTAAGTGATTAGGGGCAAGATAGTTGAGAGTGAGCTTACCAGAATTATTACCTCATTAGCCACAGCATTGTTTAGGACAGGTCAGTTAATGGCTCTACCTAATTCATGCTGCTACAGAATGAATGAAACTGTGGTGTTGTCTTAAGGAAGGTCATGAAGGATCTTATATTTATGGTGAACTTGTTCTGATGTCATCTGGTCTCATTCTTCTGGTGTCCCACAGCTGCAAGTGTGGAATAATGACTGGTCTTCAAATATTATTTATTTAAAACTATAGCACCTAGGATTAAACCCAATTGTTAGAATACTTCCCAAGCAGGTCCAGTTAACCATGGGGTCTATCCATAGTTCACCAGGAGGAATAAATACATACTTGTCTTTTTTGTATAAAGTGATTCTTTTTCTCAGGGCTGACAGTACATGTGTTACAGTCTGTTTTCATAGATTCCAAACCACTTCCTCCTTCATATACTGGAAAGAATATTTAAAAGAATACAAGCCCAGTAAACTTCCAATCCTTGCTCTGTCAACTTGTGGTGAGAAATTACTGCTTTTCCTCTGTGTTCTCACAGTGACTTATGCTGGGCATAACATAATTGGGCATAACCTAACATCTATGGGCATAACATAATTTTCTACTACTAAAGGATAAAATATAAAGTCTGTTTCAATTAATAGCTTTATCAGTAGGTTTTGGTCATTATGTATTTGTTTTTAATATGTTTCATAGGAGCACTAATCTGCTTTATGTCTTTTAAAATTCACTAGCTGCTGAGGATATCTCTCTTCGAACATTTAAAATACTACTTCCATAATGAACTTTTTAGATTAAGCCTTTGTCACTACATTAAATGACAAATGATTCATTTGATGCTGTCCTTGTTCCTAAGCTTCAATGACAGAGTTTTAATAAGCTTTTAGTAACTGGCCTTAAATACCTGTCATAACAATAGGTTGTTCTTCCATTTCAAACATCTTGGAAACAGCCAGTGTGCAAATGCATGGACCGATCTCTTGCAAATCCCCAGTTATAAAATTTTTCAAGATGTGAATCAGAATATTTTTTTTTATCACTTCTCAGAATTTCTCTTGGATTGCGTTTTCACAACTCATAGCAAAAGATTTCTAAGAGGCTATGGATGATCTTGATGCACCTGCTGTTCGGTTCAGTATAGGAACAAGAGCTGTAAATGTACAATTTCTATACACTAAAGCATGAAATAATTTTGAAAAGAAATTTACTTAATATAACGGTAAAATTATCTAGTTAAATGCTCCTTTTCAGGAAAACTTAATGTACATTTTGGTTTGTATTACAGTAATAGAAATCTCTTACAATGAATTTGTTTTCAAGTGTCTGTCACATTTTTCTGCTGTTCGGGATTCTGCTGATTTAATGAAAGATCTCTGTGAAGACTTTTTTCTGTGTTGCTTTTGCCATTTTAAAGATGTGAAATTGTCTTCAAAAATATTTTTTCTATGCCTGTAAATCAACCATAACTGAGCAAGATGAGGAGAATCCGCACATATATTTTCACTTCATCTTTGTAACAGTATTGCATGTACAATCAGTGCAATCTTGACCAGAGCCACAGAGGAGTGTTTGCAGAACTCTGAAAAACTGTGTTCAAAGTTACAAGAATGAAGTCTATGAAGCTAAACTATTCTCTTCCACAATTACGTAAAGTTGGTTAGTGACAACATTCCTTTTAAAAGAGGAATCTGATGTATGTGGTTCATGCATGTGCAGCCTAGGATTTGCAATTAAGCATCCATTCTTGGTTGAGAATAATACACAATAGGGATTATTTTTGGTGTGTAATTATATTGCCTCAATATAGACTTTTAAAAAGTAACAAATTTATTTCAGTACTATAGTAAAAGTTTTGCATAAAATATTTAGTGGTGGTTCTTTCTATTTTTTTATCTACACATAACTCTCATTGCATATTTTCAGGTACTCACGTCATGGAAGGCTCTGGACGGATGCTCGTAACTGCTGTGGGTGTGAATTCTCAGACAGGCATCATCTTCACCCTGCTAGGGGCTGGAGGAGAAGAAGAAGAAAAGAAAGATAAGAAAGGTAAATTTCACAACACATAAAGATGCTGTGAAGAAAGCTCTAGGGCTTTGTGTAGCCAGAGCTCTCCCCCATTTCTGACAAATAAATATGATTTTAACAACTTCCTTTTTTGTATACATTTTTGTCATTACATGTCACACAGAAAAACAGCCAAAGCTGTTAACCAATAAATACATTGGATAACAAACAAGATGTTTTTCCAGTGTGAAATTGCAGACTCTTAGTACATAACGCAATCAAGGGAATACATGGGCATACTCCCATTGCCATGTCTTCTTTACATAAACCCATACTCACCAAAATTTTGCTAAAGTTTTGCTCTTGTGCATTTAACTCTATGTAAGATTTTTTTTCAGAAAAACAGCAACAACTTGGCCATGGAAATAGCTTCTTTCTTTGAGCTTCAAAAGTAAAATAAAGATACACGGTGGCTTTTTGCTTGTCTGGTTGTTTAATGACAACAGAGGCATTTTAATGTCTTAAGATGTAAAGGGCTGACCAAGACTAATAAGAGACAAGAAAGTAGCAGAAATCATTGACAGAGAATTTAGCTTTGATGTCCTGTGTCAGTTAATGGAATCAAGTCTCTGTAGACTTTCTGCCTTCTTAAAGCGATGCCATAAGCAGTTGCTAATTTATGGCTTGCACCCGTAAGCAGAAACATGATTTAATGTGTGTCATTTCCAGGTTTTGTTCATAGTCTTGTAAATTGTTCAAGTCTCCTTTCAGAATTTCAGTCCAAGTTTGTTCTAAGAATATTTATCTTTCAGAGGTAATTTTAGGGCTAATTAATATGGGGGTTTTAGTCATTTCAACACTTTTTAGAGGTTTTCACCATTAATAAAGAAGAGGAGCTATAGCTTTACTGAACATTTTACTTCGGCTCTGTCAGGGACTGTGATTCCATCTTTTTTCCATTTCCATCCTTTTAATTTGAAGCTGCAGCTAGGAAGGCCAAATTCAAATGGTTTTCATGACCTACAATTTCCATTTCTGACTACGTTCAAAAAGTTTCTCTGAGGAAATCCCTTTTGACTTGACAAAAGGCTTTATGCAATGTTTACCCTTTAATTTCTACCCAGAAATGCACAATACCTGCTAGGTGTGGTATGTTCTGGGACCATTCACAGGAGGAAGGCTGAAACTTCCCAAAGTAAAACTCTGCCATGTCGGACTAGTTTTGAACAGTATCTTAGAGTTTGATCTTGCTGTGATCAAGAAAAGGACTCCTGGCCACAGATCTTTTGAGGTCTGGCAGCGTCTGTTTTGGCAGTGACAAAGGATATTATAGGTGAGGAGGAGAAAGCTCGGTACCTGTTTGGAAGTGACAGCCACCTGCCCTGCTGTCCCTGTTTAACTGGGCTGGACTTCTCTGTGTGTTGTTTTGCTCAGGACACTGGTGATTCTCTCATGTCTCTTTGTAGATAGCCTTGAAAGACAGGAAGGAGAAATCGAAGGTAGCAGAGTAATGCACTGCACTGTTGTAACTTACTACCCAGAGACAGAGATTCTGACAGAGGTGTCAAAGAACTTTATATGCAGACACTGAATCTAATTGGGTATAGCTACAATACCAGGAAAATTCCTTCACATTTTTTTACTGTTGGTAGCAGCTTTTGTGCTGGTACAGAGGAGAGCCTGGGCAGAGCTGGCTGTAGATTGAGGCCCAGCCTCAAATAATGTACTCTTGTGTATGAACCTGCAACTCTCTGAAATCCTGCCGATCATAAATGTTTGTTTCAGTCTTCTGTGGGTGTATGCTTTCCTTGTTCATTAACGTTTTGTTAAAAACCATCATGCAGGTGTGAAACAGGAGGATGGACATCAGCTTCCAGGTAGAGTAAGAATTGTACCACATCAAATGAAAGGATGAGGCTTTTAGCCAGCAGCTTTGGGGCAAATCAGGGCTGAACTAATGATTAAAATAATTGTCTTTGAATCAGTCCAGTTAAATTAAAGAATAATTTCAAATCAGCAGGATTGTTCGTGGCAAACATTTAAGTGTGCGTGCATTGTTGGTGTTGCAAATCTTAATGTTAAGCTTGAATAATCAGTTATTCTGAAGCAAATTACAGCATATTAAATGTTGGAATGCATGATTTGCTGCTAGCAGTTCATGCTGCGCTGGTTAGTGTGAGTATCCAAATGGCATAAAAAATAAGCATGAGTAACCAAAACAGTTTAAGTTATTACCACCACAGTAATCAAATTTGCAATTGAAATTTGCATGAATGTAGTCACACAGGGCATGTTTTTAACTCCTGTCTGCTGTTTATTTTCTTCTCCCAATTTACCATTTGTAAATAAAAGAAGACTATTTTTCTCGAATACCAAACCAGTACAGTGGCAAACAGCCACTATGGGTCAGGTGCTGCAGAAGTTCAAGAGTTTCAATCAGGATTCGTTGCAGGACCTCCGTGTTCCATTGGGAACAATTGACCAACATGAACCAAACAAGGCTTATTTAATCTACTATTTGTAGAGACTAAATTTGTGAACTCTAGTATTAAACACATAATAAAGTAATAAAACCTTCTTTGGGTTTTCCACCTTCCTGCTAGGAAAGATTTCTCGACCAGTTTCTCTACTATGCAGATAATGGCTGAAAACAAAACGATTTTATTTTCTGATACTTTTTTTCATTTCACCACAAACCAGTTACATTTCTTATTTGGATTTAAAATAACTCCTTGTTCTCCTCAAAATTTCATTTGCCATTTCCACATACGATATTGAAAAGCTTGATGTTTCTATTCAGATCAATGTGCATATTATCTAGGTTATGGCAGGATATAGACTGAGCCCATATTAGACTGGGTTGTATCAGCAATCATAATATGCAACATGACATAAAATACAAGGTCTGTAATGTTGTATATACTCTGTAGTATGCTGCGTATTTAAAAACTACCCATGCATTGTGTAAATTCATTAACTCATGGGAAATATTTCTACCATTTTAATATTTGCATAACATTATATTAAACAAATCGCACAATAAAGGACCAATGCAGTGCACATAGTAATGTATACTGTCAGTTCTTACCAACTGTATTAAATGCCTTCCATTTTATTTATTTATTTATTTATTATTATTGTTATTCCACATGAGTTTTTGCTTTTGTAACATCTTTGTAATGATATTTTGCTTTTGAAAATTATGTTAATTAATTTAATCCAGATTGATCTTGAAGAAAACAAAGCCATAGTATTCCATAAACGGTTTTGTTTTGTCATGTGCATTTGTTCATGTTGTTGTTATTATTATTCTTATTATTTATATTGTTTTTTTATCCATTATTGCTCAGTAGAGTCTTCCCATCCCTCCTCCCACCCTCCTTCAGCTACAGATGGTGCAGCAGGTGCAAATGCCACTGGTAATGCAAATGCCAGCTTAGTCAATGGTACGTCACGAACACCCAGTTTGCTGTATTTGATAGCTTTCTCTCCTGACTCTGTAAGATCCCCTCCTCCTTTGATGAACTGCACAGATGTGGTATGTGCATGTGATTGCCCTCTGAGAGATCCTACTCCATAAACTCTATGGTAGCTTATAAGAGATGCCACAAAGATGCTATGACTGACTTCATTCACACAGAATTAAGCACGGAGAGGAAGAGGTAGGAATTATGGTCTATTCGCCATTAATTAAAACTGCAATTAAAAGGAACAGTTAAGCAAGGCTAGTTTCAAAACTTTGGAGTTGCCTTTACATGAAGTTTCATTGTAAAGCTCTTCACACATTTGCCAGTGTAGATCTGAAGAACACCATGATAAAATGATTATCTCTTCTCTTCTGATGTGGCACTCTCATAAGTATTCATTAGTCTTCATGTAGCTCTGAGAAATAGTGCTGGGATCAGGAATCTGGCTCAGTTTCAACTAACAGTGTGTTAGGAATAACTTTTGCTGCTTTGAGCATCTTTTTGGAAGAGTAGACAGTGATCATCTAGTGAGCCTGCCTGTATTTACTAAAAAGAAACAAAAAAATATTGCTGTAGTCAGTTTTGGCTGTCTCTTAGTACAGATTCTTGACCCCACTTCTCAGCATGCAGATATTTCAAGTATCTCTTTGAATAGTCTAACACCAGTATTAAATGGAATGGGTCAATATTAGTCTAGGCAGCAGCTGTATTTTTTGTGATAATCAGATACGTTAGTCTTTATTTGCCATAAAAACCTTCCCCTCTTGTGCTGCACTAAGAATACTGACAACAGTCATCCTGCTTTTCATCATGTTGGTGATAGATTTTTTTTCCTTGCAGGTCAGTTGTTGCATTATGCATGTGAAACCAGAGCTTCTGACATAGCAATGCCAAGTACTAGACAAGCACGAAGATTTACTGGTGCAATATCTTATTTAAAGCAATGACATAGGAAATCTTTGAGGCTATTTTGAAGTAACTTTATTAGGATTTAAAAGAAATGTGTAACCAGATTTTCAGCTTTGCTCCTTCACATGCCAAGTTTGTTGGAAAACTAGGATTTGTAATTTCTACATCTCACTGCATGACAGGAGCCTGTATCATCCTGGTTCCAACATTCTGATTTCAGATTCCTTAGAGACCAAGAACCAGGAAATTCATGATGAATATTTCATTCCCCATTCTTTATGCTCTATAATTCTACTTTGTTGTGTGTAAACGAGATATACCCACACAAAGTCTTACCAGGTATCCCCCCCAGTCCCTCTGGAGACTGCAGTCTCACAGTTATGCTCAGTCCTGCAAGTTGCAGAGTACAAAGTTAAGCATCTGCTTAAGTGCTTTGCTGGATGACAACTGCCACTCAGCAGGATGCAGAGATGAGTCCCAAGTAGTTGTAACCTCATCTCTGTGTTATCAGGCTTTAGTTGCCTGGTAAATACCTTTTGTGTTTGGTCTTAATGCCTGAATTTCGTATATAAATTGAGTTCCAAGGGGTATTAAGTCAGTGTCTTAACTAAGCATGTGGTTTTCCATAATCTCTCCCATCAGAAACAATACCGTCCCTGTTTAGCTTATGAGAGACACATACTCACTTGGTTTCAGTGCACAAAGTGCAGAAGTCAGTTTTTTGTGCAGCTGAGTATGTTTTTGCTTTCAACTCCTTTGAGGTGAGGCAGTTGAATTAATTCTGCAGATCTTTGATCAACATGAACAGGAGATACTTTCAGCAATTCAGCTTACCTGATGTTGTGTGCAGAAGAGAACAGATTCTTGGCAAGTAGAGTTAGTCCTGCTTTGAAATTGCCAAAGTCTGGTCTGTTTATACTACACATTTTCCTACTTAGCAATGAGGATGAGTTAGAGAATAATGTAGATATGTTTTGAAGGGGGCTTGGATGTGGGAGAAAAGAAGGAAAAAAGTAAATTCTAAAGTCAGGAGACCAGGTTTCTGTCTGGATGAAATAATTTCTTTTCAATAATGTCAGAGGATTCTCCCTGAGATGTGACTGGAAAGACACTTTTTTTTACCTGAAGTCCAATACCTCTCCGTAGAAAATACCTTCATTTAAGAAAAAAATATTATACACTTGAGTAAGTACTTAGCTCAAGTTGTTACTTGAAAACACGTTACCATTTCAGAGAAAATGTTGTCTTAGTTGTCTAGTATAGAGTTGATACAAAAGAGTCACTTGTTTTCAGTCAGTGAGCTTATAGTGCTAAATTTGTGCAGGTTTGTGACACAGCCTGTGTGTATTGAAGGAACTGCTATAACTTCCGTTGAGTTCTAGTAGTTGAGATTAAAATACATAATTGTTTGATGGTGTCTGTTAAAAACTATGGGAAATATGTTCAGGTTTTAGAATGTAATTCATGAAAATTCATCTGATCTTGAAGTGTTGTATTTAGAAAAGGTAGATTTTTAAAAGAAAATATGGGAAACAGCAATCACTATTTCAGCTTGTTTACCCCAGATTTGATTTAATTAGAGAAAGGAGTACTCATCACTGTCATTAGAGCACTGCCCCATTCCTACTCTATATCGGGTCGTTGGGGGTGGTTTTGGCATTTGGTACTCAGAATTTGTTACTGAAAATTAGATTCTGATCTAGAAATAGCCCAGCAGACTCAGAGGAAAGTCTCAGCTGAAATACTCGATGGGTACCGTTAATTCTATCAGTTCTGGCACATGTGTGTACACCCCTGTTCAATTCCTGCAGAACAATCTGCAGCTTCAATATGTTTTAAAGTATTTTCTGAACTTGTAAGTGAAGTTATTTAATGTGTGTGTAGAAGAATTGGCTAAAACTTCCTGTTAGGTTCAGTGGAGTCAGATTTGTTCTTTTATAATCAACCTGTGTTTTAGTAACGCGTTGGCTCTGATACCAGCTTGCATGAGAGAATTCCAAGTATTCACTGCAGATATGTTTGACGTCACTTTTCCCCCTATATATAGATTTGCAATGTGCGTCTGTTCTTGCTAGCTGCAGACTAGAACTTGGCGTGAAGAGGGCTATAACTCATTTCTATTGCAAGAGGAGCCCTTGTGGAAAATCCACAGGGTATTTTGTGCTTTTTTGCTTCATCGCAGCACATGAAAACATAACTCCATTAGCTGCTTTGGGTGATGCTGTGCACTTCCTCCCATGTACAAATAATTTCTAATGCCAGCGATAGATTTTTGTTATTCTGTGTCACTGACTCCTTATAAAGGGCTGGGAGAGGTAGAGAGGAGTCTTGTCTTGGGAGGTTTATTTGGAGAAGTACCTGTCTTTCGGAGTAGGAACTTACGACCGGTGCCATGGGTGCTTTCCAAAGGACAAATTTTAGTAAGGCAGAGACAACATGCAGAATGTTTTATATTCAAATCCAGAACCTTCAAAGCAACTGCAGAATGCAAGTCATAGGGGGAGGCTCTATATTCTTATAAATAATAAACCTGATTTTTCATCCTTGCTTAGGAAAGTGATAAAAATAAACTCAGATTCAGATTCCAGAGCCCAAACACTGTTCCTTTTACTTATTTCAAAAAAGAAGAAAAGATTTGCAAAATTATGGGAAAATAGTTTTTTTAAATTTTTTTTTTAAGAATTATGTGTAAAACATTATCAACTATCAATAAATACTCATTCCTTTTAATGTTTCTGAACAATGCACAAAGGCCAGAAATACAGGATAGTATTTCTGGTCCTAGCACTGACTGAAAGGAGAAAGGATCTCTCAGCAACAGTGATTCTATCAGGTCATTTTCTTTCTTAATTTCTTTATTTATAATGTGTAGCCAAGTGCAAGTTTAGAATTCTTTTGAACAGGAGGAAATCAATCCTTTCTATTCTTTTCTTCATGTTTTCTCTGTCATAATTACCTAAATTACTTGTTCTTTGTTTTTCTATCTACATAACTGGAATATAACTAGCTGTGATGACTCTCCCCTTGCCCCAACAACCTAAATGCAGTAGCTGCTGAGGTTAAGAATGTATTTCTTACATACTGGTGTTCCCACCGTTAGCAGTGATTATCCATTTGGTGTCCTGCTGGTTTGAGGTAGCCAGAGTAGATGAATTGTTAGTGTAATTCATTACAACAATTACAATGCCACTATTAAATAGCAAATATGTAACATCAAGTTAAATACTTGGATTTACATAGAAAAAACAGCATGTGTTGTGTTTGCCAGTTATGCAAGCCATGGGTTTGGGTTTGTTTTGTTTTTTAAATGGAAGAATCATCAATTATACTGCTTTAAGGTTTTGAATTGTGTTCTGAAAAAACAGCTATAGAGCAAACTGCTCTAAATTAGGGTTTTCCAGTTCTTAAGGAAGGCTTTATCCTCTAGCCAGAAATCAGAATCTCTGGAGATGTTTTATGTCTTCCACTAACTTTATTAAAAAACATTCTAAGAAAAATAGCCATTAGAGAGATAGCAAGTTCAATTGTGCACTCTGTGTACAATTTCTTAAGGAAATTCCACAGCGAAAACAAACTTGGTTTTGTTCGGGTTCATCCATGCATGTCTCATGGCGAAGGGGAAGATACTATATATTATCATAGCCAAGGTGGGAACAGAGTTAGAAATCCAGACAAGCAGTTGATGCTGAAGGGTTTACTTCAGTAATCCATTGGAGCACCAAGATGATTATACCTACTGAGACCCCCTTGCTGTGCTGGGCCTCCTGTGCTCTGGAGGTTCTCAGTACCTGCAGCCTGCTAGCACAGGGTGAAGAGATGAATTCATGGCTCATTTGGCCATTTGTCCTTTTGTGGACAGGGAAGGTTTTAGTGGTCTCCCAATTACTGAAAATACAAAGATGTAGGAAATGCATCTTAGCCTTTCAATTTTGCTCCTATTTAGTCACAGCATAGACTGAAAAAATGAATACATACGTTGAAGCATAATTTCTGCTGCTTTATTGTGCATGTCAGTTTCAGCTGTATCCCTGGAGGAAGTCAGAAGAGCAGGACTTAACCACTGTCAGATTTTTTTATAAACTCTAATGATACATTTCTTACTGGAATGTCTCAGAAATCCTATCAAGGTGGTTTAACTATTAATTTTCCTTAGCATTGTTTATTGTGCGTTATACATAACTATACAAAGAGAATGTCATCCCTTCTCTCACGTTTATAAAACTCAAGCAGTCTTTTTCCATAAGATAAATTCCTATGTCACTGTGAAAGTTTCCTAAGGGATCCCACCAAGAAATTTTGAATACAGTTGAAATTATTTGCTGGTTATTCAAATACCAATGGTTTGTACACTCTGATTTGTTTTCTGCCATTGGTATTTCATAGAGACTTTCAAATGGTGTATTTTCAATTTAAAAAAGAAAGAAATCACATAAGGACTTTGGAATGCTGAGGCTGTGTGCAGCTAAAATAGGAAATTAGATAGACTTGGCAAATTTTTCTTCAGGATAAATCTGACTATAGAAGAATCACGTGGCACTTGTATTTACTGGAGTAACTGCTAGATAATATAGCTAGGTGAGGAAGACGTAAGTTAAAAACCAGATCTGATTTACATTTTTATTTTAGTGACACAATTATTTATATTTTTTCTTAATTTACTAAAATAATTAATTTAATTCTGGAATACATTAAGATAGTCGTGCTCTATACTGGGCTGTGCCAAAATTATACCTCTGGTTCTTTTAAGTCCCAGCTTTCTGAAATTTCATTTCAGGAATATTATTCAAATTCTAATTTCCACTGGATTCTTTTTTTTTTTCTTTTTCTTAGTTTCACCCTCTGAAGTTCTTCAATTTGCTCAAAATCATGTGCTAATACTTAGTATTTTACATGTTACAGCATTGAACTTGACTGCAGTCCATGAATGTGTCCAGCTAAGTTGTCCTAAGTAAATGTATGATAACAATGGTCTCTGACCAGAAAGAAGTCTCTGTAACATGCTCATTGCTTTTGTCTGCCCTTTTTATGTAAATTCCCATTTTCATGTTCTGTCTTGGGCAAAGGTTGTTTACTGTCTGTTGTCTGTTGAAATTTTTCATCATATAGGCAAAATGCAGGATGGGAATATGGAGAACAGCCAGAACAAAGGTAATCTTTTTTCATATTAAGGAGGTTGTGGATTTTATTTTTAGCATGTAGTTAAATTCTGTTAAAAAGTAACATGACAATATGTGATTTGTGCCTGTGTGTAGAAGTGGCCCTGTTGTTCAAACAGAATGTTAACACCCCCCCCCAAACAACCAAACCTAACAAAGAAACCTTCCAAGGTGTTTATAACTCACAGACTTTTGATGTATCAGATATTTAGGATAGGAGAAGAGCAGTATTTCTAATAAGCCATTTATAGATTATACTTTCATGTCACAAAGCTCATTTAAAATCCATTTTCTTGTGCAAGTTATGTATGCTATGTATTGTTAGTGGATTTCCAACCGTATTTTTGGTATGTCTCATCACTCCTGGTGTTTAATGGCATTGTGTGGACCCATTTTCTTTTGCAGGGAGAAGGTAAAGCAGTAACTTAGAAGGAAACTTAGAAGCCAAGAGGTTATTCAGCAATGTAAGAGTATAGTGTAAGGATAAGTAACAGGAAGATTAAGAATCTTAGAAATTTCTTATTTAATGTTCAATCTCAGGAAGAAATTCAAATAAATATTTTACTTTCTCTGAAGCAAAGCCATGGTTCCTTTTCTACAGTATGAGACACGGTTGTCACAATTTCTTTGGGTTATGCCAAAGAAGTCATCTAAACTATAGTTTAGATAGTACTAAAGATTGCAAAGGTGATGGATCAGAAACTGAACAGATAAACTCAGTGGTTAATGGTACAAAACTATTAAATAAAATGGTATTAAATGAGTAAGATTTAAGGTTAGGTACACAAATTAGATTTCCAGGTCAAATAAGCACAATTTTGTACAACCTGTTCACGAATGTCAAAGCAAAGCTGTTTCATCTCATTCTATTTAATTTACTTATGTCTGTGTTCAATACAGACCAGACACATACACATATATAAACTGGAATGTCATTGCTTTTAAAAAACATGTCTCTCTCTTTGATACTAAAATAAAGTTTCCTTATATTAGCATTAGCATTCTTTCACGAATGGTTGCTTTAGCCTTTAAATTGTGTGCTTTTTATGGGAGACCGATGATGGTGTTGCCATCGGATGGTTAAGTTACTCGAACACTGAATGCTAAGGAAACTTTTGAAGTCTAGGTTTAGCTAGAATAGCAGTTTGCAAAATGTAGTCCCCTGGTCTCTGCAGTGCCCATGCAGTCAAGACATCAGGCCCACAATCATCTGTGGAACCATGTTACCTTTAAAATGTCTTTAAGGTGTTGACTGTAAGGGTGCATTGTAATCCATGAGACATAGCAACATTTAGAGAAATACAGAATGTCTATTTGCCAAAGCATTTGAGATCTAGTCTAGGAAATGCTGCAGTACTGATGTACTGTTACTTGACAAGTAATCTGCAAGACATTAAGTTATATATATGTGTATAGCACAGAATGTCATCGGTGGTTTAAAAAAAAATCAATAAATAAAACCCAGTGGCTTTCATGGTGCTTGACAAACGGTGCAGCGCTTATCCCCATGTTTATGGGGTGCACATGGGTGTGCTTGTACATTTGTGCCCTGCTGACCCCCCCTGGGTCTTACAGGGGTGTCTGTCTGTCATGGGAGTGAAGTGTAATCCTGTGCATTGATACAATCATTTGTGTTGCAGTCAGCCCCTGCAATGAGTGTTGCTGGTTGAATCAGTAAGTATCTACACTATGACAAAAGGAATGAATACTTTTGGAGTAACTGTTTTCTTCTGCATTATTAGCCAAGCAGCAGGATGGGGCTGCTGCCATGGAGATGCAGCCACTGAAGAGTGCAGAAGGGGGAGAAGGAGATGACAAAGACAAGAAGAAATCCAACATGCATAAGAAGGAAAAGTCTGTTCTTCAGGGAAAGCTGACCAAGCTGGCAGTCCAGATAGGCAAAGCAGGTATGACCGGATAACTGAGTTAGCAGTATGTTATACTGGCAACAAAGGGGTTTAAAGCCAATTATTCTTAAAAAAGGGTGGGCCTCTTACTGCAATATTTAGAAATGGGTCATCTTAATGCTTTTCTAAAGATAGCATGTGGTATTGAAGATCTCTTATTCTCCTAAAACATAGTTTTGACTGTCAGGAAACTGGAAGCTTTGGGCAACTTGGATTGTAATGAATATTGGAATCAAAATGAAATGTAGCTTTTGTCATAGTTAATATTCCCAAGTGCAGTAATTACAGATTTAATTTCCTATCCACTTAGAACTTCTGAGTACACAGTTTCAAAATCTCTAATATCATCTCAAAATACCACTCACACAGTATTTCCCTGTTACTGATTCAGAAAGCATTCTGTTCTCTCCTAATATTCATGTTCCTGCCTTCTACCCAAACATGACGCATCCAGTACCACATTGTCCCTACTGTTAGAAGCAGCACGTCTCCAACATGTAGGTAGAAAGTGAAACTCTTCCATAATGGCATAATGTTTGTTAGGTTCATTTTTCTAGTTGTGTTAAAGAGAACTTAATCTCTGTCCAGATCCTTGGCAGACGCCCTACACCAGATGCCTAACTTTACCTCTGTTCAGCCTCCTTTATCCTTCTGATTCTACCCCTGCTACTCCTTCTCATTCCTTTTTAAGTTCATTACACTTAGTTATCATGTAACACCATGATGCCATTTCTGTCTCCACCTGAACAGTGCATGGCTCGGAATCTGTGGGTATCATCTCTGTCATATCCAGTTTCATGCTTTGCCCAGTTTCATATTCCTTAATCTTCTCTGCGTTGTTGCTAGTTGTACAACAGTTGCCTTGATATAAAATCACTTCATTTCTCATGATCATTAATATCTTAAATACCTTTCTACCTTGCCTTCTGATTATTACTCTCTGGTATTTTGGCAGGGATTTGACTATTACTTTTAAAGTAATTGTATAGGGATTTCTAAACGTAATGTGGCAAGTAATAGGAATTCAATTAATTAATCATTGCCTCATTTGATTTTTCTTTCTCATTGGGCAGTCTCTGGGGATGTCTTGCGTTGTCATGAATATTTGCCTTTACAATATTTTAATGGTTTTCCTTTATCCTCTGGCATATACCAGTCTCCCTGGCTCATCTGTTTCCTGTCAACCTTAGCATCCTTCAGCTTACCCAGTCAAGACATGAAATTCACAGCATTCTCCTTCTACTGTATGATCTCATTAGAGAGAAATTAATTTACTCTGAAATGCAGGCTTAACTGCTGCATAAAAACCTGCCAAAGAAGAGCAATCATAGAAGGCAAAATAGATGTTCCAATGGAGTTTGTATGCTCAGATCCAGGCACAAAACTGCAGAGGGGGAGTGCTTGCTTAGCAAAGCCCGTGTCACTAGGAGAGCATATTAAGTCCCTGAGATCTTCCATGAATTCTGTGAAATATTTGTTGGTGTCTCTTGTGCTGTGCTGTCAGTGTCGTACCTCTTGAGCCTCTCTTCATAAAAATATGCATGGTTTGCATATGTCCCTTTGAAAAGGGAAACCTTGGAAACACTGGTATTTATTGTATTTTCAAGCAAGGAGGGAAAACCTGCTCTGTGGATGATCCAGCAGCATTGCCTCATTGTATTCAGCCAGGCACACCAGTAGGGCTTTCCTAAAATACCTTATACAGCAACATAAACTACAGGAGACTCCTTTTCTCAAGCCTCTTAAGATAATCTTACTTAAAGAAAGATGAGTGTTTGAATATGGATAGACTAGTAATTTGTAAAAGGTGGAGGTTAAAAGGCCAGATAAATGTTGTACCACTCAAAGTAATGCACTAAAGGGAAAAAACTTAGCTTCAGTAACAGCGAGCTCCTGTGGAACCAGACTGGCTGTGAAGTTTTAGAGGCAGCAGTAAGATGGTACTTAAAAATTAACGTGATATGATTCAGCTGTTCTGTAGAGCTCAGTGTTTCCTTATTCACTGGAATGTAGGGCTGTTGTAAATGCATTATGGTAATGTTTTTTCTGCATCGTAAAGTATAACATTATCATCATGATTGGTACTGGTGAAAAATGTCATGTAGAATAAGAAAATAATTTCATATCAAATTCTAATGTAGATTTCTAACTGCACATGTTTTTAATTGTGTTTTGGTTTATAGTAATTGATTATTTCTGTTTTCAGGTTTGGTGATGTCTGCCATCACTGTAATAATTTTGGTACTATATTTTGCCATTGACACGTTTGTGGTCAACAAGAAGCAGTGGCTGCCTGAGTGCACGCCTGTCTATGTTCAGTATTTTGTTAAATTCTTCATTATTGGTGTTACTGTACTTGTGGTTGCTGTTCCTGAGGGACTTCCACTTGCTGTCACTATTTCTCTGGCTTACTCTGTAAAGGTAAGAGACATTAATAATAATTATGGGAGAAAATGCTGTTCAGTTGAGTTTACTAGTGAGGCTTCAGGTTTTATTAGGTGTGATGAAAAGTGGCCTGTAAGTAAGTGTGCTCAAAATATTAATGAGTGAAATTCCTTGGAAGTGAAACTTTGCTTTGTGTTAAAAGTATTTCTGTCAAAACTGCAGCTACGTAAGTATTCTAATACATATCTTTAAAACTACCCAGTACAGGAATATCAAACAGCAGAAACACCTACTTAGTTTGCAAGGGCAACAGAAATTTGTTGAGCAGAATTTACTATGAGATTTTAACACAGAATAACTTTGTATTCACATTTTTCTTGTGCAATAGTACAAAAGTTTTACAAGGATTTGAAGCCTTCAGGAACACTTTTCAAAGAAATGAGAGAGTTCCACTGGAGCTCTCACGTACTTTTCTTAAGTGCAGTTGCAGTTCTTTGCAGCCAGTGTAAATGATTCTATGAGGAAATGAAAGAGGATTAAAATCCTGGACTTGTGGATCACTGTTATCTCAGGAGTTTTCTCAGATTGTTTTAGCAGGTTGGTCAGATTCTGGGAATCTTAGATGAAGATTTTGTGAAGTTGATTTCTATTTAGTATGTAACTAAATGAATGTCTGAACATGAGGAAGGAATAGCTTGATTCGTATGTAGCCAAACATCATTATTATTCGGAAAAAAGAGCTCCTTTCAAGGATGGCATTTTGCTAGTAAAGACTTTAGCTGCTTTTAAAATACTTTCCCATTCTCCTTATATCCTTCATCCAACACGTGCAGCACATAGGTAAGTATCTACATGTGCGGTGTCCAGCTGCCATACAGCTGTGTGTACAAGTGGTAGTACTGCACCCTGTGAGGACAAGATACTGTCTGACAGTAATGTCAGGTGATGGGACACAGGATGGTTTTAATACAGAGAAGATAAAAGCAGTAACTCTGCATCTCCAGGTGCACAGTGCAGCGAGTACTCTACCTTGGTGGTTTTTTGTGGTGTGGGGTTTCTTGTGGTTGGTGGCATTTGTTGTTAGTTTGTTTCTTTTCCCAAATGTGTGGTCCCTCTGTGTGCTGCAAGATCTCATCCTGGCATTGGGAATAGTGTTAGAAAACATCTAATATTTGCTATAATGATACTGTTTAAAAAAAAAAAACGTGCTATCTTCAGTTTCTTTAGCTAATTTCCTAAAATGTATATATACTGCAAAAAAGGATGGGACTGTGTTGGTTTATGAAAGGCAGAATTATTGCAGGGCTAGTCACTGCTTGGTTGTCTGTGACTAAGCATTGGGTTATCATCCCCAGTCAAAGTTCTAGTTGAGTGAGTGTTGTGTTCTCATGGACAAGACTAAATACATGCATTTTGCTTTTCATAGCTGATGTTAAAAATCTATCAAAGCAAATCTTGACAGCTCTTTATTTTGTTTTTTCTCAGAAAATGATGAAGGATAACAATCTGGTTCGCCACTTAGATGCTTGTGAAACCATGGGTAATGCTACAGCCATCTGCTCCGACAAAACAGGGACGCTGACGACCAACCGGATGACGGTGGTCCAAGCCTACGTTGGAGATGTCCACTACAAAGAGATCCCGGACCCAGACTCCATACCCGCCAAAACCCTCGAACTGCTGGTTAATGCAATTGCTATCAACAGTGCTTACACTACAAAGATCCTGGTACGTGGGCTTTCTCTGTCAATAGAAAGAAACCTGGCAGAAGGAGTTGTAATGTTTTAAGCAATGTTAATTCCTTAACATCCTGTTGTCGATTATGGAGCGTTAAATACCATTGAGGTCCTCAAAATGACAACAGGTGCTGTAAGAAGTACATATTTATATCTTTTAAGGATAGGGATGTACTTACAAGTACAAGACCATGCTACATTTAAAACTCTCCTGCTGTTGGATTGGCATGGCCCAGTTCTGGTGCACGTAAATTTGAAAGCAGAACAAGTTGTCACTGAGACTTCATATGTGCACAGTTATTTCTGTGTGTCTAAGAACTTTCAGTTAATTCTCAAACAGGACAAATTGGATTGGTTAAATCAATGAGGTTCATGATCTTTATTCATTCTGGTTTGAAGTGAATTACATCCAGAAGTATTTTATTCAGTCTGTAAAGGAAGGCAAAATGGAAATATCCTGCTTGCTTACAGCATTAGATTCTTCTGTAAGAAGCTAATTAAGAGGCTGAAAACTTTTGCAATTCCAATTGATTTGCTCTTTTAAAGGTCAAGCTTAATTTTAGTGGTGCAGAACAAACACATTTTTTTAGTTTACGGGTTTACGTGTTGTCCTTTTCATAGCTTTGTGCCGAGCTGTTTAGTGTAGTCTTGCCTGCACTTCATGTTTGTTTTAAGAGTATTCTTTTAAAATACAATCACAGAAAACAGGATACAAACACAGAAATGCTGCTGAGGGCTGGAGCACATAGTTCCTTGAATTCTTGCAGTGTAAATATCTGTATATTAGTAACAATCAATACTTGGAAGAAGGATGTTTAGAGAAACCTGACGCAGATATGCCAAGTGTGTTTGTAGCAAGCGTGGTTTTGAAATGAAGGCTCCTGAGGGCTCTGTAGCCAGGATTAGTGTCTGACGTCAAGCCACAGCTGAGGCACCCTTCAGACAGTCATCTGTGCTGTGCTTGCGCTCACTCTTCTGTTCCCACTGAGATCTCCCTGGAAAGGGAAATGTGGGGAGAACCAGCCCCTGAGGCAGCTGGAGCTGCTTCCAACAGCATGAGTGGACAGGGAATCAATCACACAGACCCTCCGTCTGCTCACAAAGATGCCATTTGTGGGCACCTTCCAGCTGAAACCAGCCAGCAATGTGAGTGCACCTCTCTACAACTGCACCGTAGACACAAATAGCTCTGGTCAACTGAGGCTGGATCTTATTCTGTCCTTTTCCTGTGTGCTGTCCAGGTCAGAATCGACCAGGATAGCTGAAACGCAAGATGGTCCTTCCACTCTCAGGTGGTTCAATGTAAATGCTCTGTAATAGTGGGCATCTTATGGCAGTGGCTTTTTGGAATCTAATTTGTAGATTAGCAAGAGTATTTTACTATTGCTGGATAAATGATGCTTTCATAAATCAGTATTACATTTGATTGTTAGGGAGAGGAACATCTTATTTTAATACATCTTATTTTAGTATTTTTACAGCCTAAGTAAGATTAGGTACTTCCTTCTGTAGAAAGAGAGACAGACTCAAACTCGTCCTCAGTGCTTGGGTTAAGACAAGGTAATAGGGACAAACTGGGATGAAGTCTAGGAGGTAGCTATATAATTGTGTTTGTGTAACTGCTAGAGAGGTGATGCTGGTCATCAGCATCAGTCCTTGCTGCCACTGTGATATTTGACTTTGGGAGGGCTTTGAGAGAGTATTACTAATGTTGGCAGAATTTTCCTCATTCCAAAGGAACAACAAGGCAGAAGGCAGCAGGTTGGGTGGCAGTGAAGTCAGGTGTGACTGGCAGAGCAAGACTCCATGTCTGCTCTGCTTCATTTGTTTTACATTTAACTGTTCATTCTGAATGCCTGAGATCACAGTAACCAGTGTTTCTGTTCAATATCCATTCCATTGCCCTCTCTGAATCTCAGAATAGATTCAGGTTTCTGAGTGGCATCGGACTTCCCAGAGTGATGCACCTGTAGCATTAAATATAATGTTCTGTCTTTCTCTTGTGGTAATAGTTCCATTTGACTGAAAAATTTCTGGTCAGTAATAGTTCTTAGTATTTCATTTGGTCTCAGTATACTTTTGAACTTTTATTTAACTCTGGTTTGACTTCATTGTTTCTTGTTGAAATGAGTTATGTATGTCTGTTAGAGTCGATATTTCACCATTTCAGTTCTTTTTTAGCTTTACACAGAGACTGATTCTCTGTCAAACTGATAAATGGGTAAAATCCCCTGGAAATCACCCTTGTGCTGGATGCATAGCAGATGACTACTTGAACTTCTCCATGTAAAAATAAAGGTGATTTTTAGCTATGATTCTATCATAACATCAAGTCTTGTGGTACAGACACCACAAGAATAACAACTTCAAATATCAGAGGAGTTCATTTATTCATTGTTTATAACAAGCTTAAGCTAAAGCTTAAGATACAAGGTATTGTTCCATAGCCCCTTTTAAATCATAAATAAATACAGTTAAAAATACCTAAGGGAGTTGTTTCTAGGATTAGGCATACAGCATGATTCTTCTAGCTGCTGATACTGAATGCAAACTTGTGCACTCATTCTTAGAAGATATTCAATCATATTGTGAACATCAGCTCAAACCCAAAGGGTGCATGTGTTATAAGATTGAATTTTACATATGCTATTTTTAGTTATCTAGTTATGTGTATGCTGTAAATTGTGCTTTGTGTGAACTTCTGTTCAGAGTGATCACATATGGGACCATAAAATTAGTCAAGATGCTCTGCTGAATGAGAAATATTCCCTCTTGCATTGTTTCTTGATTAAGGGGCATTTGAACCACTGATAAAAATATAAAAAGAAAATAATATCCTTGCTTGGGATAAAAGATTTGAATTTCCCCGAGAAATTAAACACAAATTAGTCCAACTGAACAATAGCATCATTAAATATAGTTCTTTTTAGTGCTTTCCAAGGATCAAGTTACTGAGTGAGCTGCTTTTGCATTCCATTAGCTGCATAGCCACTATAATGCTGGTTTTATGCTGTTTGTGTGAAGCTGTTCTCCAGAAAACCTTTCTTTTCCATTAGTCATGTTTTCGATAGCTTTCCCACACAAAAATAAAGATTAGACTTCATACATTTTTGCATGTGAGCTGTGATGAGGACTGTAAAGTATGTCTTACTTTGAGAACAAAATTTGCATTTTGGGAGTATTTTCCTTGCACTTGGAGCAGAAGCACATTGATCTTGAATATCGTGGAGCAATAATGAAATAGAGACTTCAAATACCACCACTAGTGATTTGAACTCTTCTATTGAGCTCTTGCTTGCATAAATGTGGTTTTAATTAGAAGAGTATTTCTTCTGATTTCCTGAAAACAGCCCTCTGTCAGAGGGCAGAGATGACATGGTTGTGGACGGGTATAATGTGTTCTTATCAAGAAGAGATCGAAGTTAGTATTTAATTGAGGGATTTTTAGCTCCAGTGGAAAACAGCCAGCTGAACCCGCTATTATTAGGATCTAGCACAGGCATTTCAGCTGGTACTTGGTAGGTGCTTAAGGAGCAAAAAAGCTACTTATGCCTGTATTAGGTGCATGTCTGGAGCTGCAGGAGGACTGTTCTCAGTTCAGGTGACCGTTTACTGCACTTGCATAGTGTGTGTTACAATGCAGCAGCATCCTTCAACTGAGGATCTCAAGGGAGAAAAGGCAGAGATGTCACAGGTAAGGGCAGAACATTCATTCCCTGCCACAGCTTCTGCCAACTGAGGAAGTGAAGTAAACATGTTAGTCTACATGTTTGTAAATGTTACTCAAGTGATGAATGTGACCATGTAAAACTTTTGGAACAAAAAGGCCTTTATTGGATAAAACTAAAGGGGGGAATGAAGCCACAACACAGAAAGCAGTGCTTCCTGTTTATCTTCTGGCTGAAGAACACCTGCCTGTGACACCGTAACGTCTGCCTAAGAAAACAGTGCAGTTATCAAGGTTCCTACCAGCACCCAAATCCCAACCATATTCCTACCAGAGCCCTAGATGAGGGTCTCCACATTCTGCTCAGACCCATCACTCTTCACAAGGCATCAGGGAGGGCCCTGAGAGCCCCAGATAACCCCAGCAGGGAAGAGCAGGGATTCTCCTCAGGCTTCCCCAAGAGGAGTCTTGCCTGGGAGAGCAGTGGTCACCCTTCACAGGAGATGGCACTGAGGACGCAGGCTGGCTCAGGACACTGGCACCGAGCAGGAGGATGGAGCTAACATAGGCACAGCCTTTGGGATTTACAAGGAGAAGAAGGAAGGTGTGAATTCACCTTCTTGCTTTGTGTAATTCCTTTTCCCTGAATAGATAATTAATCATTTTATTAAAATAAGTGGAACAAAATTTCTAACTTTATTCTGAAAGAGATTCAAGAGATTTGGGCACAGACTTTTATTGCTAGGAATACGGAGTCCTTTTGACTGTCTGATGTAGGATACTGGAGTGAATGCCCTTCATGCTTTCTTGGGGAAAAGGGGTAGAGGGAGGCTGGCAGGACAGGGCGGTAACCCAGGATACAGGGAAATCAGAACAAATTACTGAAGTGAAATAGTAAAAGTAATGGAAAATAAGATTTTAACACAGCGGCTGCTGTGCAGGAATAGATGGAAATCTGCTGTGGGTATTGAGAACACAGATGTAGTAGCCAGGTGAAGGGTTCTTTTTATTTTAGAGGAATATATTTGCATCCGAAAGTAGTACAGCTATCTGGGTTGTGGGAAGACATAATTTTCCTGTCTATAGCACTAGAGCGCTAATACTTCTCTTACTGATTTTTATTTCTTTAAGTCAAATGGATTTCATTTATCAAATACTTGAATTCATCTTGTCTGTTGTTTTTAATTGGATGAAAAAACTGTCTCAAGAATAATATATATATATGCACACATACACTATTTAGCCAATAAATTCCCTTTACCTTTCATAATTTCATCACTTTCAATCCAGTAAGACATTCTTTTAAACAACTTTAAAGTTGTTTT